GAAGGAAATGAAGAGGAGGAAGAGGAAGAAGATGAGGAAGAAGCAAAGGGAGAAACTGCAGAAGAGGAAGAAGAGGATGGGGGTACAGGAGATGAGGAAGAGGAGGCTGAGGAAGATGTTGCAGAGGAGGAAGGAGAAGATGAAGAGGAGGAGAATGAAGGTGAGGAGGAGGAGAAAAGAAAAGAGAAAGGTGTGGAGGCTGCTAAAACGGTGATAACGGAGAGTGATGAAGAAGAAGAGGAGGAGGAAGGGGATGAGGAAGAAGAAGATAGAAAGATTAAACAGAAAACGGAGACGAGACTTAAAAATCAGAGAGAGGAAAGAAAACGGGGAGAAAGTGAAAAGAAGAAAGCTGATGAAGATGAGGAAAGTGAGGATGATGAGGAAGAGGCTAATGAAGGGGAAGACGAGGTGAGTGAAGAAGAAGAAGAAGATGAAAGCCAGGAAAAAGGAAAGGAGAGTGAGGAAGAAGAGGGTGACGAAGAAGAGGCTGCAGGGGAGGAAGAAGGAGAGGAGGAGGAGGAAGAAGAGGAAGAGGAGGAGGAAGAGGTCAAATCAACAAAAACAAAAAAGGGAGAAAAGCAGAAGTTGCCTCCTAAAGCTGCTCCTTCAGAAAGAAAAGACAAACAACAGAGAGAAGCACCCAAACCGGCACCAAGGACGAAGCAGAGGGCTGCAGGGGAGAAGAAACAAGATGGCTCTCAGCAGTTCTGGAACAATGTACTGCCTCAGTACCTGGACCTGCAGTGACGTCACCACACAGAATCTCATGCAGTAAAACCTGATCACTGTGAGTCACATTCAACCAAAATGTCAGCAGAAGATGTAAAGCATCAGTCTAGTGTTATTGTACCTGTTAGGAAATGTCAACAAATCACCTGAAAACACAAAAACAATGAGTCAGATACTTTTTGACTTTTCCACATTATCAGACACTCAGTTCCAGTCGTTGAAACTGAGGAGCGTTCAAAACAAACACGTTTATTTATTTAGTTTTTTGTTGTTTTTTTAAAAACTTGTTAACATGTGCACTAAAATAGAAAGTTGGACATCTACTACTAAACACCAAGCTTTTCTGTAACAATTCTCTGTAGGTTCAATACTATGAGTGAAACCTTTCACGCTGTTTAACCATTTTAAATCGAGATAAAATCTTTAGCTGAGGTTCAGGAGCAGGAACACACCTCAACCACTCCCCTTCCAGTCAGATGTCTATACTGTACATACCACTCTGCCCTTCCCACTTGTTCGCTCTTGCTTCTCGTGCCTCACCCACCCTCCCTTTACTTCTACGTCCTCTTCCTGCTTTCTCCTTCTCCTAAACCACCAGCCCGGGACCCGGTCTGATCCCTGACTAAGCATTTCCCACCAACACATCACCAACACATTCGCATCCAACAAACAATCAAGCTTCGGTTTATTGGGGTGGTCCTAGCTCGACACATTGGTCGTAACAAGGATATTTGTCAATTGGAGCAACACAGTGGCTCATTTGTACTTTTGTTTTTGAATCAACTTTAACTTTCAAAATTATAGTTTAAAAATGAATGGAGGAGAACCAACGGTGCTCTTGTTATTGTACACTTCCTTCTTCTTCGTGCAACATTTGCTGATGATGATTTGGTTAAAGATTCAGGTGCATTCTGCTGTAAAAGGTGAATAAACCATTAATCTATATTGCTTGCAAGCAATACTTGTTGATGGGGTAGAATCATTGTCTTTTCATGGGACTTGTTGACAAAAGAAAAATACTAAATCATAACTAGACACTCACTTTAAAAATGTAAATGTGATTCATAGTGACTGTCATGAAGATGTGTTCTCTAACTGAATTATTCTCTTACTGTCTATCATACAATGTATTTTCCTTTCATCTGTAGACTTCATAGTTTTATTAGTGAGTCACTTTATTTGTATAAAAGAAAACAAAAGCCAACATGTTTTATAATGTATTTGTGCTCCTGTTTTTGTCCTCAATAATGACAAATGATGACCCATGATTAGGGTGATTTTACACCTTTGGAGGCTTCAAAGAGAGATGTAGCAGTGAAACCCTCAGACTGTACGCTCTGCATCAGGATCAAACGTCACTGATGTGTTTGTGTGTGATTTGCTGCCTTCGTGGTGACAGTGTTCCTGCAGTAATGACACGCTCCTGAGCTTGATCCACAGCAGTGCTTTTAAATGCAAAGAAATTCTTAAAGATATACTCAATGAAAGCACCAACGAAGTGTAAACAACAGTTAAACGCGGCACAACTAAATCCAGACGCCACAATTTCATCGGCTGTAACCGCCACATCAAAGTGTCCCACCAATCCCCCTCCCCCCCTCGAGCCAAGTTAGCAGAGGTGGAGTCAGTTTCCCTCACCTGACCTGAGAGGTGTGTTTCAGCCCGAGCAGGCGTAACACTTGGCTGGACCCACATGTAATTACAGCTCTGGAGATCCTCTCGCTTCGCCGCACGCCTCCCCCCTTCCTGTTCCCCCATCAAGACAAGAAGCACTCGAGCACCTTCTTGTGTGGACTCGCCCCCCCATCGCTCATCACACAGGGTCTGTAACCAAACCTCATGCTTGTGGAGACAGAAAATTAAACATCAATTAGTCTTTCAACAGCTCTGTACTTTCACCCGCCTTCTGTGCCGCGTGTTTGTGTGTTATGAAACGTAATGTGAATACAGTATAGGAGGCTGTCATGTAAATGTCAGACCAGAACTGACTGATTGATACTCTGCTAAAGAAACAATATATATACTACAAAAACACTCCTACAACATCTCTGCCTCTACTATAGAAAACAAAAGGTAGTAATTACAATATGGCTGCTATAGAACGTCTCATCAGAATAGTGTTGCTAGGAAACAACTTGGATCCAACTTGACTTCATGTAAAATGTTCACATCATTAGGAAACTTGTGCAGCGTTTTCACAGTGAACCACCACCATTGCTGCTGCTTTTCATTAATGATGCATATGTGTGTGTGTGCAAAGAGCAGCAAAGCTCAACAGTAGGATTATTGCAGGGTAAAGAAAGGTTCAGTTTGAGTTTGCAAACATGCAGCTGATAACTGCATTTGAAGTTCTGTTGCTGTAATTGCTGATATGGAGCCACTGTTCATGTGGTGTTACTTTAACCTGTGTTTTTGCTGTGACAAACCAGGGGATGTGAAAGAAACAAGTTATTTCAGCTTCCAAATAGTGTAAAATACAGTTTTACATTAATTCTCACTTAAAATGCTACTTTTTATATTAACAGTGAGTCAACTAAAAGCTGCACATAAATGTAAAATATCCACTAATGCATGTCAAGCTTCATTCCTTTGCCTCCTGATGGATGGGAGTAAGTATTATAGTTGAATTTATTGCAATACAGTTTAGATGAAAGTACAAGATCCAAGTGTTTATTATCATTTTTGACAGTCTGGCTGGTTGAAGCCTGTGTTTTTAATAAGCAGCCTACGAGTTGTAAATCGAAGAAATGACAGAATTTCTTTCATCTGTGCTGTTTTAACTACCTTTGAATTTGCAGAACGTAAACAGGTTTTGTTGTTCAAAGAAGAAGATTTTATGGTCTGATGAAATACAACACACGGTGACGATAATGTCAGCTAAATAAAATATGAGGACCTAAAGTTCTGCATTCTCAAAGGTACCATAGTATTATGTGCATAGAACATCAAAAATTAAAGTATAAGCAACACGGAGGCTGTGATGGATTTACTTGCAACCGACATTTTAGCAGTGTAAGCCTGTTGTAACAGCTTTATATGATGTTAGGTGGTTTTTTGGGTAGTTTAACCCATTTTGTAACCATTAGAGTAAAGTCCTGACTGGCTGCCACTACTCATATTTTAGGTCACTTGTAAAAAAAAAAAAAAAAAAGCATTGAGAAGGTTTAGTAAACGTAGTAAAACAACATCATAAATATGCTTTATTGCAAGTACAATACATACAGAGCCAAAGAACTCTGGTGTTATCAACAAAATGTACAAAACTGAAGGAATTGTGCAAAAAATAAATATTGCTCATTGGAAATCTGTTGTTGCAGCAAAGCCTTAGATTTATTTTTAGTTTATACCAACTGGCTTAAAAGTATATAAAAATCAATTTCCTGTAGCTTGAGGCTCAAAAGTTTAAGCATTTTCCGCACTATAGTTTTGAATTTATTTATTTTTTTGCAATATTTTTAACAATGGCATTGGGATTAAAAACAGGTTGCAACATTCATATTGCATATTGCTTATTTTTAAAAAGCAAATTTGGCAATAATCTGATTTTAGTGTAGCCTGTCTACAAAGTATAATTAAATAATACAGTAACTAAAGCAATCAGGTGGAATAAAAAGCAAAAAAGGGAGAAAAAAATCTCTGAAATGTAGTGGAGTAGAGGAAATATGACAGTAAGTCACTTTCCAACAGGTCTAATGCATCTTCAGAGCAGAAACAAGCAGGTCAACCTCCCCTAAAGTAAGTGATGTTTGTGTTTGATAGTGTTTAATCTGTGGAGCTTAAAAAATTAAAGAGGTGAAATTATTTAGTAGCTCAAAACGAAAAGGCAGAACTATAGCAAAGAATAAACTCCACATGATTATTGAGGTCAATCAGATGTACCTTCTGAAGAGGGTTTTCCTGGTTGAGTATTGTATCAGAATTAAACTACCGAAGACGATGCTTATGTAATGTTGGGAGCATATGAGGGAAAATGGGTTTTGTGAATAACTAGGTTGGTTTGTTTCCCTTGTGGTGATCCTGTCAGGAGCTGGCTCCCTCATGCCGGTGGCCGGGCCTGCCTGTATTAGGAGAATCCTCCCTTGTTTCTGGAGCAAGAGGCGGGCCTTTGGAAAGCAGGAATGCACTGGAAGTTTTCCTGCGAGCTCCCCTTCACATGTTGAAGAGCGTCCGATATGGACATGTGGCCGCTGGTGCTCCTGATCGTCCAGCTCTGCCTCTGCTCCGGGTACGAAGGTAAGCACCGATCACATGATCAATATAAGTATTGATCCTGCATGGGAGGGACAGATCACACAATGGAGCAGCTCATCTACAGCCTGTCCGGGGATGGGTGGTGGACAGAGTGGCTCATCAGTGGGGTTTTTAGGTGTAGATGAGAGTCTTTGTGTTACACTTTTTGTCGGAGGTTTGTCGTCCTTCTCCGCCGCTGCTCGGTGAGCCGCGGTTGTGTTTACGTGGAGGGGGAGGAACCGCGGGGGGAGTGCAGTGTGCATCTGGGGGACGTTTCTGTGCACAGAGCTCAGTCTGTGGTTCTAATGAAAGCCCTGCAGCTGCTGCTCACTGCAGGTTTCATCTGCAGTTTTTCTTGCCTCTTTTTTTTTCTTCTTCACGCTTTACTCCCCTGCTAAGAGGCTGAAAACGACCCATTCATCAGCTCTTTGAAATAAACTGCAGCAAAGGACTTTCATATTTTGTGGCTGTGGGTCTGTCTGGAAGTATTAACTGTCCTTTATTAATGAGCTTCTATCCTGCTGTTGACTCACACACAGGTTTGAGTAGAGTTGCAACATTTGGTCGATTAATCAAGTTGATTGGAAGAAAAATAATTCACAACTAGTCAGTTCTTGCTAAAAAGAACTATTTTTTTGTGCTGCAACTTTTCTGAAGTGAGTTTTGTCTGTGTGTGCATTGGTTATCCTTGGATTTTGAAGACTTTTCCCACAATTTTCTTATTAAGGTTTGAGTTATAGTTGCAATATTTGCTTGATTAATCAAGTGGATTGCCAGAAAATAATTTCCCGTCATTTCTTCTTGCAAAAAAAATGAAGTTTCTCATGTTGCAGCTTCTCTAAAGTGAATCTTTGTGTGTGAATATTGATTATCATTTGATTGCTGATATTTTATTGGATAAAACAAGACATTTTCCACTATTTTATTAATATGTTTCTGTCCTGATTTGACACACTCTCTCTCACACACACATATACACTTAAATACAGCTGCAACAATTTCTCAGTTAATCACATTTGATAGCCAGAAAATTAGTTGCCAACTAGTCATTTCTTCTTTTCTCATGGTACAGCTTCTCTAGAGGGATTTTTGGCTTTGTGGACATTGATTGTCATTGGTTTTCAGACCTTTGATTGGAATAAACAAGACACTTTCCACTATTTTATCTATGAATTTCTGTCCTGGTGTTGATTCATGCTCACATTTGAGTACAACTACAACATTTGGTCAATTAATCAAATTGATTGTCAGAAATGTGTTTTGTGGGCATTGATTTCTTTTGGATTTTGGACCTTTGATTGGATTAAACAAGACATTTTCCACTGCTTTATTAATGTTTTTCTATTGTATTGTTGACTGACACACACAAGGTTTGAGTACAACTGCGACATTTGGTCGATTGATCAAGTTGATTGCCAGAAAATTAGTTGCCAACCAATCCTTTCTTCTTGCAAAAATCATTTTCCTTGTTGCAGTTTCTCCAAAGTGAGTTTTTTCTTGGACGTAATTGCACTTTTGATTGCACACAACACTTTCAACTGTTTTTCTCGCCTTTAATGGACAAATTATCGTTCAATACTGAAAATATTAGTTACTTCAGTGCAGTATCCAACGTAAGAAAACATAGAGGCGATCCAGAGAGACACACAGTCTGTAGCCTGCAGTGAGGAGCTGAAACGACTTCAAAGCTCCAGTCTGGATGGAGGAGTATTAAATGTGTGTGTCAGTGTGTAGTCACAGTGGCTATGTGCCTGTAGATGGTTTGAGAGTGGCTCACCACCGCTGTATGATCATGCAGGCTGAAACATGAACACAAGCTGCAGAGCAGATTTACGCTGACAGACTAAAAACTGCCTGTCGAGCTGACAGTCAGGACTCTGGTCTATACTTGTGTATGTGTGTGTGTGTGTGCATTTGTGAGGAGTTTATTTTACAGGGGTCTGTTTGTGTTTGCTCTGGTGGTCAATTAGCCCCTTTATTACCAGAGCATGAGTGCCTAACATGGGGTGGCTGGCGGTGCACCAGAGTGAAATACTTGAGATATGGAGCTGCTTTTTCTCATTTTTCTTTTTTAAGTAGGCGGATGTAGTTTTTGAGTTTGGCCTCTGTTCTGCATCTCTCCTTACAGTTAAACCCATTTAGAAGAGGCATTTGTAAAAGCCCGATCATATTTTCCATGAGGATTCTTGTACTGAAGTGGGAGGAAGATTCTCCTCACGCAGGGAACAACCTGGATAAATGCCAGCAAGCACCATGAATAAAGAGCTCCAGCAAAAAGGAAGGAAGCACTTTACGCTCAGGTTAATCCTGAATGATTACAAAGCAGTGCCTGAGGGTCAAATCAAGAGCCAGCTGTTAATTAATGAACAACTAAGATGTAGAAACCGCTCCCTAGGTTTTGATTCATAAATTGTCAGTACAGAGGTTTTAATGTGGTTTGGCAGAGAAAGTAACAAGAGGGATGATTCAGTGAGAGGAAACGTCAGAGGATCACCCAAGACAGTAGAACTCCTCTGGGGTTCCTGAGTGTTTCATGACAAACCATCCAATAATTGTTGAAATATGTCAGTCTGAGCCAAACTGGGTGACTGAGTGACACTGCTGTCCCTATGAAGGCATGGAGTCAGTGAGCCTTGTGCTTTGATCAGCCACAACATTGAAGCTTCTCTCTGGTTGTTGATTTAACCCCTAAGAACTCGTCTCTGTGTTACATAAGTCCGAAAATTAGATTTTTTCCCCCCCATGAAAACAAGCTCTTCCTGCCTACAAAGGCTTAGATGCAACTCCACATCGTTGCTTCCTTTATAGTGTGGATCTATGTTGTCCCTGCCTCTCTTTCTAATCACCTATTTCCACTGGAAGCAGCTCAAACACACCAGCTCACCTACAGATCTGCTTTAAAACTACTCTGCACTACACAATGGCCAGTTCTAATGTTAGAGTAATTCAGGCATGCATGTTGAAACCTAAAACCAATTCTGTACAATAATGATACAGAAAGTCCCACACTGCAAGTTGACAGCAGTGGTTCCTTATGTTTGCTACATAGAAATCCTACAAATCTGAATCCACGTTTTTTAGACTGTCAGGTACAATGAAGTTTTAGGGTGTAAATCCTCAGCCATGGCGCTGACTGCCTATTTTGCTGATATTATATCTTCCAGCATATCAAAAAACACCTAATGGACATGTTAACAAGGTGAAAAACTTGGTCTTTAAAACCACTGAAAGATAAAGTCATGAACACTGATCACCTTGTTACACTGACCCTCGGGTTCTCATGTTCATGTGGATGTTATTTTAACATGCACCACCTACCTGAACATTGTTGCAGATCCAGCGCACATCCCCTGTATATAGCACCAACGCAAAAAAAAAGTTTTATACAAGGATCAAAAATTCACAGAAAGAGTATAAAATGAATACAAAATATTTGTAACTTGTGTAATACAGGTTAAAGTTATGTCTTTACTAAAAAAACATCAAACAGTATTTCTTATAACAAACCATCTAGCAAACCATTTTGGTGGCTGAAAATCATGTTTTTCTATGTTTTTCTTCCAATTCTCAAGAACCTATTTATCAAGATGATTGCCACTTTGACAGTCAACAACTACAATGTTGTGCAACATCTGCAACAGCATCAATGCAACAAAAGCTGCATCAGTTAGAGGTGTCGAGAACAAGCTGATAAAACAGCACTAACATTTTGTCACTATATAATGTTGAGATTCAAAAATGTTGGCCAACAGCTCCATATTTACTCCAGCAAACCTAGAACAAAATTTTACAGTCATGTTTTGTTCAATAGGTGTAGTCCAATAGTCACTGCACTTTTAGCTCTGTTTTGGTCTCCACCAACACCTGAGGAAAACGTCTCAATCTTTAGCTGCTAACTTGTCGTTCTGCTGTTTGGTGCTGAGCAGACAGTGCAGAATACAGCTGTTTTACTGACAACAGCTGTCGTGGAGGGTTTGCAGGGGACCAGAATCTATCCCAGCTGACACTGAGCAAGAGGCAGAGTAAACCCTCTCCAGGTCAACAGTCCATCACAGGGCCAACAGGCAGACACAGACAACCACAGTTCATTTAGAGTTACCACTTAACCTACTATGCATGTCTTTGGAGGCATGGGGAGTCCCGACAAACTTAATTCCAGTTTCGTGTTCAGAATCTTGTTGCTGTGAAGGAGCAGGGCTAACCACAGCACCAGCTTCATATTGGTCAGATTACATCAGAAAACATTAAAAACATGCAACAAAAAGCAAATATTACCACCACATAACACAACTTGTGGTCAAATAATCTTTTATTTCAATCCCTCATTAGACCATGAACAACAAAGTACAAAATACAGCTATTAATATAAACTGGTACATTTGTTATATGCTTGTGTCGCTTGTTAAAATTTTACAGGTACACTTTGTCTCAAAAACGCAAGCAAGCATGTCACATCAAGAATTGGAACTTTTTCTGCCCAGAGATAGAGAAAAGAAATCTTGCTGCTCTCTTAAACGTTTACACTTTTTTGACATGTTAAATACATTTTCTAAAAAAGCAGTGAACGTCTCGTCCAGACAAACCTTCATTATGGTACAGTTTATATACTGCATTCTTTCCTTACCAAAGAACCCAATAAACAGTTTCACCCAGCATCAAAACATTTTTTATACTGCATCAGATTTTTCCATGTCATTCTTTTTGGCTGCTCCTCGTCTTGTTTCCATACTTCTCTAATTCAGAAATGCTGAATACTGTAACTACAAATTAACATGCATGCAAACTCCTTTGCCGTTGCCGCTGACTCTCCTTACTTTGGCCTTTTTGAATTCGTGTTTGCAAACAGCAACACAAAGTCTTTTATAGGTGGATGAGGTCTAATTGGAGAGTCGTGCAAAGGAGTTTCACAAAGCTGCTTTGAAGATTCATAATTACATGAGTAATTTCTATCGGCTGTGAATAGATGTTTTCCTCTTGATTAAAGAGGTAGTCGACCAGAATTT